GTAAGGATATAACGCGCGCACGGCATATGGCAAGGTCCGTGCCGCGGCCTGTCGCAAAGATTAGAACCTCGCCAGAGAATCTTACCGAGATCGTTGTCGATACTTGCGAGCGATCCTTGGAAGCGTTTTGACAATTTCGATGCGTATCCATTGAACGTATTCCTCGAAATCTGATTTTTTTTTTTTGCGCTCCTTTCTCGCTTTTGCGTGTCGCAACGAGACACGTTACAATCGCACGTTTTCGAACAAATCGCCAATTTTGCTTGACTCTCTCGTCTCTTTTGTTTATACGCACGTAACTGAAGAAATTGCTCAATCACTTTTCGACGAGTTTTCTCGGAGAGACCAATGTAATAACCGGGCGAGCAAAACTAATCGGCCGGTGTATCAAAGAGCTCGTTTATTTTTCGGCACGCTTCTTCTTAATGGAAAGCGTGAAGTTTCAATGACTAAGCAGAGATGCGCGATACGAGAAAATTATAAGCCACCACGTTAATACGTCTACTTAGTTTATACGTGTTGTTACGTCTTTGTATTTTTGTTAAATGACGAGTCCGCGTGCCGATATTTGCTGATATTTGATCGGAAAAGAGAGAAAAAGAATTACAATAACCTCACACTATATAATTATCTTTCGTTGCTATTATTTATTGTAATGAATCTCGCGAAATGATTTAATTAATCGATTAATCTAAAACTTTTATTGTTAAAAATATTATGAAACATATGTGTACATATGTGTGTTTTTTAAACAGTTACGCAATTACTGCGCGAAAGCAATTCACGGTGGCGCCAGACAACGTTTGCGTTACCAGCGATGCGAACGAGTTAAGTAGATCGTCCTGTGGCGATCGGTTCCGCGCGTTACTCGACGATCGCCGAAAGGATTAACGAGTTTTCGAGTGTCGAGAACGATAGTATAGAAAAATCCACCCGACACGGAGTCAGATGGCTATAATCACAATCTCGTCTCGGGGTGCCGACTTTGACACCATAAGGGCAGCGAAAGGTGTCCCGAAATCTTCCGTTTCGCTTTTCTCGTTGTGTACCTGTAGACCGGAACGAATCGGTTCTCTCGCGGGACACGATGAAGATTGTGTGCGATCTAAATTCGATATTATGGTCATCACAGAATCTCTTGACGCTTTCCCAATCAAACACCACGATTGTGCTCGCGATTATTTACAGTTGCGCGCCCAGGGAGAAACATTGTATTTTTTTAATTTCACCTGTTGCATTAATTCGGAGCGAAAAGAAAAACACAAAACTGTAAATATTTTCTATATTGAATATTTCCTGTATCGTTTATAACTTGTTATATTTGAATGATTGATGATGTCATCTCTCTGAAATTCTTTTTAGAAATCAAATATACTCACGTGCGAGACTCTCTCAACAACCTTGACTAATAAGATCTTTCAGGCTTTTGACACTCGCTGGCGTATGTAGACACACTGTCAGAAATGTCGGAGGATCGTTTGTCCACTTCACTTCGTCATAATCGTGATCTGAGACGAATTGTCTTCATCAATTGGACACTACACGCGGGAGAGAATCGCCACGTTTTAACACAACGTTGTATCTAAAAAAAATTGATAATTTTGACTATTCTCTTCATATTAGTACCATTGAATTTTGATATTGTTAGTTGTTGCAGTAGTGAGAGACGTCGAAACGACAGTCAATGTATCGGTTAAAACCGTTTCTAAGCGCACACAGACTCGGCGTATAAAACAGTTATCCTATAAGAAAAAATAAAATGTATTAAAGAATACAAATTTTTTTTATAAGAATATAAATATAGATTTACATCATTTCGTCGAACACGTTTGTTGATTTGACGGAACAGAAAGAAACGCGAAGAAAATGAGAAGGATAATCGAGTCTCTCGAGGCGATTTGTTTTCTTGCGGTCGACAGGGCGCGGAATGACGCGTTCGGCGCAAATTGTGCCTGAAATCGATTTTCAGCGATCCTTTCGATGCTTGACCACCTTCTGGTCACGCCCCACAGTCGAGTGACCACTCGGTCAAAATCTGTCTCAGTTTCCCGCTGTCTCTCAGTTTTCCTCGGGATCGTGATCGTTCTTTTTCTAACGGGATATTGCTTTTCTCTTTCTTGCATCAATTTACTATTAAAACCTAAAGCTATTAACATTTTTTCATATCTTTATATAAAATTTTAATTTATAAAAAGTTTATGTATAATTGACAGCACAAGAGATAGTGTACTTTTTTGTTTCATCGTTTAAAATTATTTTCCTGAATTTTCTCTCACGACAATACCGTTCGGTCTTGGCAAAAAGTTCGCCAACTCGTCGCAAAGCTTTTTAACGTTTAATTTACGCGCATTCCAAGGACGAAAATCCCGTTTAAAGTATTTTATCTGTCGGGCAGATATATCGCAGGAGATCGGATAGGATCCTCTTCTCTCGTCGTAAGAGGCCGCGCCGAACGCTCGGTCCGTCCGTTCAGGTAATTAATGATCGCTAATTACCGGACATCTGGTGCTGGAAGGGATCCTTATATTTACGACAGGAAGGTGGACGTCCATCGATGAAAGAAAGAAGCGAAAAAGGAAATCATACGAAATCGCTAACGAGCTCTATTATGGGCCACGTGCCGCTGTCCGCCTACGTACCTCGAAAGGTGACGGATTCCTTTCTCCCCTCCTTCGTCTCTTCTCCCGATTTCGCCGATCTGACGGAAGGAAAGGGCTCCGATCGAAATCTCCGTGTGTGTGATCGAAATCTCACTCGTTCATCCCGAAGTCAAGTCGAAAGACTCGTTCGATCTTCGTCCTATTCGCGCGTGCTGCAACATGTCATTTCTATGAATGCTTTTTGAAATTTTTACCTTACTTTCTCTATACTTCTTTCGTAAGTTCAAAAAGAGTTTTCCGCTTTCCCACGACGTGTGTTAATTGACCATTCGAACCGATCGCGGTGTCACCCCCTCCGTACACGAGAACGCCTTTTATGGACGCCGCGTCATATTCTCACGCGTGCACATCTCGCTGTTCCCTTCGTCCCCTTATCGCCTTCTTAGGGCTATCGTCGGAATCGCCGTAAGGAATGTTGTCCGTTCCCTGTTCGACAAGCGTTCGGCGCACATGAGTAACATTCTCCGTCTACTGAAATTCGACGAACGCGCGCGCGCGCGCGCACGTGATCATTTGAAAAAGGCGCAATTTCATTTACTTCAATATTATCGCGAAGCTCCTTGAAAATAATGAGAATTATTATTATTTTTTAGTTCATAATATATTTTTTAGGGCATGCGTATAGATTTCTGAATGAAAGAAAAAAAATATTTATTGTGAATTAAAGAAGTATTAAATGTTTTTTCTCAATTTCTCTTTTGTTGTAATTGATCCCTTCAAAGAAACATCTTGTGGTCACAGTTCCGTTATATTCCACAATAAAGCACGCCTATTCGACAAAGAATAGAGTTGTCTGACGGAATATGTGTGTGTTCTAAATAAATAGTGTGTGCTTGATACATGTTACGCGTTTCACGTTTCTGAACAATGCGTCTCGGTGGTCAATGACAGCTGTCACACGGTTATTCTTGTGCGTAACGTCACATTAATCGGCGCGCACGTCCGGTCGTTATTTCGGAAAAAAAGCGAAGAACAAGTGGAACGAGGAACAAAGCGCAAAGCGCCGAATAATTAAAGCGAAGCGGTACAAGAAATTCTCACGATATTTGAAAAGAATAGGCGAACACACGCATATCACGAGAAAGACTCGCGCGACGTTTCCTCCCGAGAAAGTGAGTTTCTGCTCGATCGAGAAATAACGGTGCGTGCACAAAACCGAAAATAATAAAAGCGCCATTGGGAGGAAAGCGCACGCGAATTGCTCGTATCCGGAAGGGGACTCGGAGAAGGTAAGACGGAGGGAGACTTCTCCAAGGGGAAACCGAAAGGTGGGCAACAAGTGCGTGTGCCGGTCACGCGCCCGCGTCCACAACCGGAAAATCGACGTTTACGCGCGAGAGTTGACCGGAAGAGTGCGGTGTAACATTAGCTATGTATGCAGTTCAGTTTTTTAATTTGTTACTTATCTTTATAATTAGCACACAGCTACTACTGACTCGAAACAATCGATGAAAAAAAGGGAAATCAATCGAGTTAATCGATTTCTCGTTTAATTTTGTTTGAAAATTAATATAATAATATTATATCACATTGAAAAGAGATTAAATACAGTTTTCTATTGTAATACTTAGTTTTTCTCAATATTGTATTGTACAATCACGATGTCAAATTACTTTAGTTGAGTCGAGTGACAAAAAACAATTAATTTTGTAAAATTTATAGTATTGTAAAACAAACCGTTTGTGCTCGCCGATAATATAAATGTGTTTCACATGTGTAAAATTCTCTCTTCTCTTGCAAGTAGTGTCTGCGTACAGCACAAGGTGGCGACTCTGCGTATAGATCTCTCATTCGATTACGACATTTGCAGAAAATGTCGTTATTAACAATATGTTGTACTTTTTCTTTATTTAAAAAAATGCGTGTTTTCTTGTTTTAACATAATTCTTTATTTACAACATTGTACAAAATCATATTGGTACGTGGTACAATTGTTCTTGTCGCGTTATCTTACGAGCTAATGACAATTACAAATAATGCGCTTATTTAACACCACTTTGTATCTATTTGTAAAAATCTTTGGCCGATTGCGAAACGTCTTTGAGCACAATTTCTCTTTGCGTTTATTCTTACGATTATTATTCTTCTTTACGCTTTAGATCTTTGGCGCTTATCATCTAAAAATAATCAAGAGTAATGATTATTATCTTGACTAGATATTAATTAGCTAGTAAAACAAGAATTTACAATGAACGATGTTTGAAGTCTGACGATCCGCAAAAGAACAATGTTTATCTTAAATAAGAAACGCTCTGCCATCTTTACATAGAAAGAAAGTTTTTTCAATAACTATATATTATAATAATAATTTAATACAAAAGATATATTGATGCACACATTAATTACAATTTTTAAATCTATTTTCGAAATGTAGACTTAACTAAAACCCGTTACAATTGTCGCGCTTTTACTAAACTTACAAAAGTGATAAAATATACATATATCTATCAACTATATCTTACAAAAAAAAATATCTCCAAAATTTCGGCTGAAACTTCTTTTATATTTTCGCGCGAGTAGTCTTTGGATCCTTAGCTGTTGTTTTTCTTAACTAAAGTAACTTACAATATACAAATACACACACAGTTGCTTACATTCACAATGCAATCTCCAAAAAGCTGTTTACAACGTACCTTAACTTAACGTGTAAAAATACAATATTAAATAACTCAAAATCATAAAAATATATATTCGCTCACTTGACTGCATACTATGTTTCTTACAATCGCAGCTAAACAATAAACTATTTCGCAAAAATAATAATGAAAGCCAATAGAAAATATCATTCAATTCTTGTAGACATGCAATTAGAATATATTTTATAGAATATATAACACACCTTTAATTGCTTAGCTTAAGATTACAAGTAGTAGTGCTTTTGGTGCTGATTAAGCATAGTTCAGTCTTGCAGTAAGTTTTATATAGCAATTATCATGAAAAAAAAAACGTGCCAATTCTTTCGATATTTGAAATATAATTTGTGCGTTTTGTTACTAAATTCGGCACCGTAAGAGAAATATATTAAATTTACAAAATTAAAGAGGACATTAAAAGGAAACGTGCGACTTCTCAGTTGGATCTATCTCTTGGCATCATGCCTCTGCAGAAGGTCGCACAGAGCGGCGATGTAGCTCTGGGCCATCTGCAGAGTTTCGAACTTACTCAGCTTGTGATCGGTCCCAAGGCTCGGTACGACCTCGCGTAACTTATCGAAGGCGTCGTTCAGCCCGTTCATGCGACGTCGCTCGCGCGCGTTCGCCGCGAGACGCCGGCGCTTCAACACCGTCGGCGACGGCGGGACGTCGCGCGATCTTCGTCTGCCCTTTCGCGGACTTATCGGCGGCGTCGTAGGCATTTTCTAAGTAAAGAACATCGTTTTACAACTCGGTCAGAACTTGTTTCTTTCAAAATTTAGTTGGGTTCTTAATCTTTACGATGAGATTTAATTAAATTAATTGTAACTACACACCTGAGTCGAAATGACGGGTTCCCAACAGTTGACGCGAGGTTCGACGATCGCGAGGATCGGTTTGGTGTTTTCCAGAGACTGATATCTCGGCTCTTGAGGAGGAGTCTCGTAGCAATATGGCGGCGGCTGATAGTCCATCGAACTCTCCTCGTATAACGTCGATCGCGGCGACGTTGTCTGGTCTATCGAATGAGATGGTTCGTATCTGCAAATTGACGCGCAGCAATGTGTGAAAAATTTTTTCAATAATATTCTTCGCCATATAAAATTTTTTCGTAGATTGAAAATTTCTCGTAATTATACCTTTGCGGGGTGACGGGCGTCAGGACTCCGTAAGGTCCTCGGTCGTATCCCTCCGGAGTCTTCGCGTATTCCGACACCACGTCCTTGGCGTAATCCAACGTCTCGACCTCTCTTCGAGGTGTAAGTTCGTTCTCGTGCGAGCAACTGTCCCGATACGCGATTCTGGTGGAATCGTAATTCGGGGAGTTGTAGGGTGATGGATACAGGGGGTCATAGCTTCTCGCTGAGGCCGGATACGTGGGTGTCAGCACCTCGGACTGTGTGTTCTGATAGTTGCAATGATGATTCGATAACAGGGCCATCATCGACGAGATCTAGTTTTGGGCGGGAATACGGTCGAATGTTCTTGCGCGATGAAGAACAAGGAACAGATTCGCAAAATGATCTCCGCGCAACTGTGAGATTATTTTGACGAGATTCCTAAGACATTTTGATGTCACTTTAACGCAGATCGCATTCCATCAAACTTGGCAACGCAATTGGCGGCGATGTACATATTAAAAAAATACACATACACACACTGCGATATTTTCGAAATGTTCTTCCGCGGAACTTCAACGATTTTTATGGTCGCGATTCGGTCACCATTTCTCTTCGTCAATCAACTTTCGCTTTTACCGAAGAGTTGTAACGTAATACCAAGAGAAAGATTCCTTGAAGATCATCGGATTTATCGTCTGACGCGTCACCCCGCGCGAAATCGATCTCTCATTTCGTCACCACAGATAGTCACTGATCGCTTCTCGTGCGTCGCGTTTTTCGCGCGCGGCTCGCAGAGCAAGGAACATCAAAGTCGAGCGGGACTGCCGGTGTTCCTCGAGATCGGCAGGAACACCAAGAGTGGACACAAGGTACAATCCCCGATCCTCACGGTGTAAAGGCTCAAGTTTGAGTGCGCTCTGGCGCGTGCCAGAGCGTCCGTCAGCAGATCAACATATGGTTCCCACCTTGTTTTCTACCTATCCCTATAGGCGATACGTACACCTGGCAGCGGTTCATTCGGGTTCCTCCTGTACCTACCCCTCTTCTCTTCGGGTTCTTCGGCGCTCGCTTCACGAACAACGCTCGCGATGCAAGAGCTCGTGCCGCTTCCTCTCGCGGTTCGCCAAGGAGCGGTCGGTGGTCTGAAAAGAAAGACCGCACGCGAATGTTCTCTTCCACGAAGAAAGATCGGATATTCCGTTATCGCTTAAACGAAGCAGCTCTATATGATGTACTTGTTTTCAACAAATTCATATTTATTAACAATTTTATGTATTTTTCGTTTGTAGAAACGTACACTCATTTAAAGCTAATTCGTCGAGCGTTTCTTCGGGGTTTTATATATTGAAAGCTTACGCGCAGATGACGAGTCCATTACAGCAACACCGCGCGCGATGACGTTCCCGTTTGATTCGCGCGGCTCTGATCAGACGTATTAGCGCGGCGGTGACGTGACGGAAATTAATTTTCAATTTCCGATTTTCCACTTCTTTATTCCACCTTCGCCGTCGGCGTCCGGACGAACGACAGATGCTTCCACAATAGGAGCTACGCCACGTGTAATAACTATATGTAACATATTATACCGCCGCTGCGTGTAGGTTTGAAAGGAACGTTGAAGACACACAACCGGGAGAGGAAACCGAAGACCTCACGTATGCGGTTTTCCGTCATTCTTAATCTGAAAGTGAAATACAATCTCGCACATTTCAAAATCGTAAACCTCAAGGATCAAATTAAACGTTTTTCTTTTCAATCAATAAAAAAATCGAACAGATCGATATGTTGATTAACTTTGCGTTGGCAAGATTTAAAGCGATATTAAGTGGGGATTATGTAGAATGTCTTTGTTGTCGCGATTGCACTATCGGCTCGAATCGAATTTCTCGATGTATCGCTGACGGTCTGTTAAAAAAGGCGACGAGTGCGAGACGAAAGGGAACGCGTTGATAGAAACGAGCGACTTTTAAATTCCGAAAGTCGTCAAGATAATGTGAACGACCGAGATGTAAGGAAGATACACATACAGGGTGTTTTGTTTGTCGGAATATTTGAATATAAAAAAAAACAAAATCGTGTTTACTCCGGACCGTATTAGCCACGCGCGCGATATTTTGACAGAGAACGGAAACATTTTGCTGTGACGACTTTGCGCAAAACGCTCGAACTTCTTCCCGCGCGAAGTCGATCGGCATCGATCCGCGATCGAGCGCGGACACCGTGTAGATGAGGAATCGGTACGCGCCGACAGAAGATAATACGCCGAACGGAAAGAGAGAGAGGCAGAAAAGGTAGCAGGATACAACGGTCGCGTGCTACTACCACTACAGGGCCATTCGCCTTGAGACAATTAGCGATATCCATCTCCCGCGGGGATCCACCCCTCGGAACGGAACAGAAAACGGGCGCGCGCGTGGCAGTCGTCTAAGAGCGCATACAACGAGAAGAGAGTGGCCGCAAGGTGTCGGCGGCCGAGGGCGGGAGATCTCGGGATAAAGATGCGCGTGGCGCCGGAAGGAAGACCCCGAGAGATTGCGTCCGATCTTAAAAACACACCGCGTAAGATCGGATCGAACGACTTGCCAAGATTTTTCAGATTGCGAATTAGAAGATTGAGAAATTTTAGTTACACACAAAGTTTATCGAAAGCAATTACATATCGGTTTCCTTATTGCGAATGAAAATATAACGTTGGGTGAAAGTTGATGTTGTTTTGTGTAGATGCCGCTGATAAGAAGGTTTTAATAATCTTGTACTGTGTGAGAATCGCGATGTATACCTCGGGGAAAGGTGTAACGTGCTGGTGGAAGAACAAAGATCACGTGATAAAAAGAGTCCCAGAAGGGAGAAGAGAAACGCACTCGAGAAAAAAGACGCACCTTGCCAACCGGGTGAGCAAAGTACAGTGCAATCGATACTAACGATTACGGGCATTTAAACACGTTCGACTTAAATTCGAGTAAAATTTTGTTCGCAGCTTTTCCTTCAGTAATAAATAAAACGTATCGACACGCAAGTGCTTTATGGATTTTGGAAATGTTTGACCGCAGTCGGGATTGACAGTAACCCTCGTCATGCAATTATTAGCTTTTCGTCAGCCTGTATTTAATTTCGCGTCCAATTTAAAATTTTGTCCGAGGGGTGGAGCGGTCGTGACGAGAATGTGATAGATCGACTCTTCGCTGTTTTTAGTTTCGACACTTCACTGCTCTCGAAAACGAATCGTTTCCGAGTGCCATATGGTATCGCACGTGGCAAAATCCTGAAAATTCCTACGAACTTTTCATTTTATATTTAAAGTTATTTATTTTCCATTTGCGCACAAGAGGGATTTATACAGTAAATTAAACAGTCATAGTCGATATGTTCAATAATTATGAAAACATCTCTGTCAACAAGTGACAATTATACATACATACATACCGTAATGATCTTCATATTCGTTTGATGCTGTGAAACTTATGTTCTTTTGAACTTCGTGAAAATCTTGCGACAAAACTCGCAAGATTTTCTGAAAACGTGTATCGGCGACATATGTTGGTAGACACATTGTTGTTATGTTGTTCTTCTCAGCCACGTACTAAAAGAGAGCGGCTGCAAAAACAAGGCAACATATAAAAGGGAGAAGAATTTCCCTCCTGAAAATTGATCAAAATGACGGATAATATGCGGGAACAGTTGCGGAAAATCCTTTTCGTTTTGCATAGTACATCAAAGTCCTAGGTTTACGTTTTTAGCTATGTTTTCAGGTCCATTACTTTAGACATGTTCTTTCCAAGAATTCGCGCTGTAAGTATATCTATTACAAAAATTTTCAATAATTTGCATCGGCTATGAGCGATCTAATTAGCTTCGAGTTGTAAAAAGTAAGAGAGTTACAGAAAGAATCGTTAATATTGTAAGATATCGGCATCGTGGTAGGGATCGAATTGTGTCGTAGGGATGCTATCTCTAGTGTTCGAACGACAACGTGAGCAAAATGGACTTCTTCGACGGGCGAAACTACAGAGTCAATAAAATTCTGCTGTCGTCAATCGGCTTGTGGCCCTATCAATCGCCCAGGACATGTTATATTATAGTCGTCGTGATAGTGACTATAGCCTGTACGCAATGTTTCACTAAGGTAGGGCGCTAGGTCGATCATAGTGTGTTCACGTATTTTGGAGAAACAAATCCTACGTAGCTTACCTTGGTAGCGAAAAGCTACGAGAGAGGAAAAGAGAAAGAGAGAGATAACGAAATGTATCTTTTTCGCACGCGCTTAATTATTATACACATAATGTAATAATTACCTCGATTCAAGATATGTGGCATATACGCCTATATTCACGACATGGACGTCGTGATCGAGTGCCTAATTCCAATAATGGTCGATGTGTCGGGTATGTCGAAAATAATGAATTCCATGCTGTCCGCGAGTGAGGTGAGTGCGAGTGATTTTGTTCTGTTGCGATTTTCACATGCGTGCACTTACTCGATTTTGCTTCATATACTTTACTCTAATATCATCAGATGTTTGATTATTAACTGAGGCTGCGATAAATTTATAGATAAAGGCGTTGTTCGATCAAGTAAAAAATGATTTCTATTTGCTGAGAAATTCCAAAGACATAGAAATTCTCGAAAAATACGCGGACCACGGTAGAAAATTTTCAACTATTTACGTTTGTGAGTTTCGACAAGAAAGATTTATTAAACTGCTCTCCTACGTGTAATTTGAAATTCCAAAGTGCTTCGTGTCCTCCTGACACTTCCATTTTAGGTGTTATATTCACGCTAACGGGAGTGTTTATGTTGATGCCACTCCAATCGTTGATTCTCGGAGTCGCCAACGGGACGACGACTCGGCCGTTGTTGCACAGAGTCGAATATTACGTCGACATGGACAAATATTACTTTCCGATCTTGATTCACGGATATTTAACCGTTGTGATCTGCGTGACGTCCATTGTCGCGTGTGACGCGATATTTGTGATATTTGTACAGCATGTTTGCGGATTGTTTATCATAACCGGGTGAGTATTTTTTTTGACGAGATTAAACGTTTTGACTTGTATAAAAAGTTTTTTCTTACTTTTTAAAAATTAATATCGTTTTCTTTCTCGAAGCTCGCGAATAGAACGAGCGATACAAGAGGAGCACGTGCCCGGAGATGCCAATCCTCCTGTTGTGAACGATAAGCCGTATCGAAATATGGTGCAGTGTATTTACGACCATCGAGCAGCTGTGAGGTTGGTGTTTTTGCATGTAGTATTTTAAAATAAAAAAGTTATTAGGGATAACACTTTTAGGCTTATAAATCTACTTGTCTAACTTTGACGCTTTCTCGAAATTTGTTATTATTTTTAATCAAGTTTCGCCCGTTTCATGGAACTTGCGTATTCGAATCACTTTCTGTTCCACGCCGGACTCAACATGATCGGTATTAGCGTCACGGGTGTTGGGGTATGTATGTTTTTCTTCTTGTGTGATGTAATGTACTGTTGATAAGACAAAAAGAGAATATCATCTAATTTGACAATAATAAAATATGACACACAAAATAATTTTGCAAAACCAGAATTAACATTAAAAGCCAAATAAACGAATTTTTTAACTAAATGATCATATTATAAATGTCACTACCGATTAATTAAAAAAAATATATTATTTAGATTGTAACAAAATTAGACGATATGTCTGAGCTTCTTAGACTAGTAGCCGTCTCGTGGGCGATATTGTTCCATCTGTGCTTTGAATGTATAAACGCTCAGAGATTGATGGATTATAGCGGATATCTTCACACTAATCTGTACGTATTATCTTAGCGTGCGTTTTAAAAAAGATCAATCAATAGTTAATTTTGGAGTTAGTCGAAGTAAATAGTTATCTGATTGTAGCAAAAAACCAATAAATGATTTATATAAATTCGGTAAAGTAGAAAATAAATTACAAACAAATTGAAAACAAAATCTCAAACAAATTTTGGGAAAGCATTTCTCAAACTCGACAATTGCAGAATAAATTTAAACTGGTACGACGCCTCGCCCAGAACGAGAAAGCTCGTTCTTTTTATGATGATGAAAACGCAACCGCCTTGTGTGCTAACGGCCGGCGGTATGTTCGTGTTGTGCATGGAAACGTTTGCTACGGTAAGATAATGTTCTTCACAATTGTGGTCGATCGACCAGATTATTGGCGCGACTTTGCTTACAATATGATGATCGGTTTTTTTTGCTTTAAGATCGTGAAGACCGCCGTGTCGTACTTCACCTTTCTACGATCGGCGCAATAATGAATTCCGAATGCGATGAAACGATTCGACATCGAACAGCAACCGCGTCAATGGTCAGCTCGAGATTTACGTCTGAAATGAAAAGCAGTCGCTAAGATTATTACTTTTAACTAAAAGTGTACTTTTATAAAAAAAATATGTCAAGATATTAAAAATAAAATTATATGTATGCGAATATACAACTAACGTTGTTACAACATTATCGGAAAAATATTTTTGTTTTTACTAACATGAATTTCAATATGTCTTTCTTGCAATAGATTTTTTAAATTTTATCAGAGAGTAAATTGAGTATTTTATATACACATATGAGATGCAAACTGAGCATTTTAGACATCTCTGCGTGGTTTGTCTGCGCATTTAACACGATATCACTTATCTCGCACGTCTCTCTTATACTCGCATCAACTCGCGCACAACTGATCGCGAGCTGCAAATGTCTCTGTCAACGTCTCGGATACGCATTACGTACAGCGTTATTGCTCCGCAATTCGACAACCGCCGCTGTAGAAGCCATTATCGTGCAAAGCACGTTTCCACGGAAGTATACAAAAAACAAAAGCAAAGCGAGTCCTGGAACGATATTACAAAGAAAGATGAGCGAATTGCGACGAAATTTGTGTTGAGTGCTCTTGCTTTACGAGAAACGATCGCAAAGTTCTAGCGACGTCTCGCACTTTTACAACTTTCCGCGAAAGCGGCGATTTAACTTCGTACTCCTCGTCTGTAAAAAAGATATCGCGTATATAGCATGTTGTAAATTTATCTCCTTTTCGCGAATAACTAAAACGTATCGAAACTGATTCCACGCGTGGGGTGTAATTTTTCTCTATTACATGCCGTACTCAAACGGAATTCGTAACGAAGTCAGCAAATTTGTCTCGCTTTTCTTCCGCTCGCTCGCAGGCGCAGTGCAATATCCGCCGCGAAACAGCGAAGATGGACAATGTTCAGGGCCAATACATGCGTATCAATCAGTTTCTCATGTGCCTCATCGGTCAGTGGCCGTATCAGGATAGATGGGAGAGATTCCTGATCCAGATCGTCTTCGTGCCCGCGGTTTTTTCTCAGGCGGTTCTTCAGGTAAATTTTTCAATTTTCTTCTCAAAATGGTAAACGAATGGAGTCACTTTAGTCTTGCGCAAAAAAACTTGAAGAAATTTTACAGGGCGGCGGTATGATCACCGCTTGGTTCGCGGGTGATATCGACGCGTTTATGGAAAGCTCGTCACCTTTCGTAATTAGTCTAATGTGCATCTGCAAGCACGTTAATTATACGTACAATCACGGGCAGGTACGTTTGTTTTTTTCCGTGAATTAAAAATGTCTCATCTTTGTCGTACGACATTTTAATGAGCACAGCTCATTGGTGAACGTAGATGAGGAGGCTAACCCTCACGATGACGGAGGATTGGGATATTTACTCGAAGCTCAGTCACGAGTGCGACATCCTTTGTCGAAACTACGCGATGGGACGAAAAGTCACGATCGCTTACGCAGGTAAAACGAAATTTATTAGCTTTTTTCAAGATTTCGCAAATGTGTGAGTCAAAACGAAATATCGTGAAGTAAAAATAAAAAGTTTTCGATTTATGGTAAAATAAAAAACCACGACTGGAACTAAGTAAGAAAGTACGACCTGTGACTGATACATCATTTACAGTCTCTTTGTACGGCTCGATGACTCCCTTTCTTGTCGTACCGGTGATATTAAACACGGCCAGCTACTTGGGGATGTACAACGTTTCGGAGGGTAGACCTCAAATGTTCCGTACGGAATATTTGCTCGACACGCAGAAATATTACTATCCGTTGTTAGTGCATTCGTACATCGGCACTCTCGGGTTCGTCACTATCGTCGTGGCGATCGACTCGATGTTGGTGTTTCACATTCAGCACGAGTGCGCGATGTGCGAAATCCTGGGGTAACGCTCCGCAATAATGGCACTTCATAAGACTGAACAGCATTTTCATTCTCAAAGCGCACCTCATATATTCGCGACGCGAAAATCGCCTGAAACTAGATGGTCAGTTAAACAACAACCGAGAGTTTTATTAATCGGTTTTTTCTGCCAGCATTTATCGACGGAAATCTATCAAGCGGTCGGTTAAATGTTAACTTTTATATGTACGTTTTTTTCTTACATCTCTATAGATCGTTGCTACGTAAAAATTGTACACGATCGTGTAAGTTGAGTGTTGTTAAACGTAAGGAAAAAGATATTGTGTATAATAAATGTGTCATTGTGGTCTCATACGTAATTTTATTAATACGCGTGCCCGAATTCATATCATCCATACGACATTTTATCGTTTAACACACAATGATGTATGATTAAGAGACTAAGAAAAATTGAAAGTTTTGTAACATTTAATTTGAAAAATTTTATTTTTAACAAAGTTATAAAAAATAATTTACTGAAATTGTTTCATTGTGTGAGTGTTAACATCCTCGGACGAGATTCTGCCTGGGATACGTTCATTAACGAGCGTTTTTTAGATATCGGCTAGCACGGATTGTCGCGGCTGACACCTTAGACATAGAGTTGCATCCGCACAGAGAAGAAGACGCGTCGTACCGGCACGTCAAGAACTGCGTGATCATGCACAATCACATAATAGAGTTAGTATATAAATAATAATATTTAATAAAATTTTTATACTTTACCGCAATATTTTTATTAAAGAAATTTATGCTTTTCTCCTTTTGGTTACATCAAGATACGCCAAGCGTCTTGAGATTGCGAATACAACGTCGTATTTTTTTCAACTAGGTTTCAATATGATGGGCATGACTTTTACGATATTCCAGGTTAGTTATTGAAGCAAGTAAGAAAGCTTACAATTTATAAATACGATTACTACCTCAAAGCTTTTTTTTATATTTATAAAATTATTATCTTTCAAACGCTAAAACTTACAATAACTATTTAAAACTTATGATTACTCAGAGCTAGAAATTTCTTTTGTTATACATGCGACTGTGACAAAAATCTCACATCTACGATTTATACGATTAGGCGGTGGTGAAGTTGAGCGATCTAAAAGAAGCTTTTCGATTTGTGTCGTTTACATTTACCTTATTTTCCGTTCTCTTCCTCGAAAGCTGGCCGGGCCAACAGCTGTCGGATTATACCGATAAAATTTTCGCATATACGTAAGTACTGCAAGTAGCGCTGTGTGAAATGTTCCGACACATTGTTATATTCTTTAAAAAAATTCACCTGCTTCTTAGATTATTGTATAGTTTACGTAAGACAACCATATCTCATGTAAAAACTGCGTATGTACAAAAAAAACTTCGGAAAGATGTTGTCTAAATGGACGATGTCTTTAACGAAGTAACAACATATTGTTCTTTCAGAACCGACGGAAAATGGTATCAGTCTTCGCTGAGCGTGCGGAAAGTTATCAATCTTATGTTGTTGAGAAGTTACGTGCCAATTAGAATAACCGCGGGCAAGCTGTACACATTGAACCTGCAAAACTTCTCCGCAGTAAGGAAATTTGTCATTGTGTATGTGAAATTTTGTCGCTATCTCACACTGCTGACGCACTTTTATGCATTTTTAGGTCGTACGAACGTCGTTCTCTTATTTCACCGTTCTCTGTTCGATGCAGTAAACGTTGTAGTCTCTGAAGATCTGTTATTAGTAATAAGAATTAGATGCAATTGAACTACTTTCATGTACATACATAATTTCCACTTTCTCAAAGAAAAGAAAAATTGTCTATGAAAATTGTTGGAGTTTATGTGTCAGTAGGTGGTACGACAACGATATTATAAGTTATGACTTAAGTATTTTCTAAGAATTTAATATTTATTCTATTTTTGTATTTATAAGAGAAGTAACACTCAACGTGAATTTTCATGTAAACTATCAAATATGTCATATACCTATTATTGATTACACAATTTTCATATTCACACTACTTTTTTTCACAAAGATCGTAACAGCATGAAGAATATGACACAGATGTACGAACTATCTAAAACAGTATATTATCTTAAAAGAAAAGTTGTCACACTATAAACAATTTTATAATAATATGTTTACTATAAACTTTACATGAATTAATTATATACACTTACTGCATTGAAAGTTACGTATGACAAAACGACTAATTTTCCGGCAGTGAGTGTCAACGATTGTTTGCTTTTCATCATAATCATTACGAGAAGCCTTCTTGTCGCTAGTGACATGTTGTACCATTTGATGTTGTATCTGCAAATTTTGCACAAACAAGCTCAAGTTTTCTTCCGCATATATTTATTTATACTTGATATAAATGCGGTCGCGCGGCCGAGTTCAGTGACCCCCCCCCTCACCAAGGCCGCGCGGCCGAGGTCAATGCCCCGCCAAGGCCGCGCGGCCGAGGTCAGTGACTCCACCGCAGTCACGCGACCGAGGTCATTGACCCCGCCGCGGTCGCGCGACTGCGGTCAGTGACCCTCCCCCACCAAGGCCGCGCGGCCGAGGTCAGTGACATTACTGTAGTATGTATATAATACATATAATATAATATAAAGTATAATATTATAAATATATAATAAATTATATGTATATAATATGTATTATTTAATGTTATATATAATATAAATTACAGTCACGTTATTTTCACGTGTTGTTTTTCTACTCTTTCCTGTCACGTGACTTTAGTTACGTTTTTAATACTACATTCTGAAGATACGGTTTATACAATTATAGCAAAAATAATATAATATACAATTAAGCGAAGTGAATAACTTCAAGTTATTAATAACAAATGTGTGTGAACATATCTTCTAGATATTTTTTATTCGGAATGTTTATTGCATAGATCGTAGTAACATGAAATACGACGACGATGCATGTAACACCTTAAAAAAATATAATAAGTATATGCAAAATAAATTTTATCTTTGATTTAACAAAATTCATATTTGCGGTATTATTTTACTTACCGCCTTGAAATTTACATGCGACAAAACAATTATATTACCCGCCGTTATTCTTAACGGGATTTTGCTTCTCATCATGATCATCATGAGAAGTTTTTTCTGCGCCATTGGCATGTTATACCACTCTGCATTGTACCTACATATTACGTTTACTGGCGTAATATTGTGACAATTAATTCGTTTACGTAATTGTTTTTTAAATAAAATCACATTTTAATTCCACTGACTCTGTAATACGTAGTTTATTTTTCTTTAGTCGCGTAATATGCGACTTTGCAATTAAATTCCTGATTGATACGTACGCAGATTCGTATATCTTTTCGCTGGAGTCGATCACCTTCTGGCCTTGCCAATTTTCGAAGAACGTGTTGAAGAGAAGCGCGCTGAGGTAACTAGCGTTTCTCAAGATGCGATTTATGTCTTCTGTGTGTGTTATTACCTAAAACAAATGTGTGTGTGTGTATGTTGAGATTAATGCGTGTACAATACAATTGTCAAATAATGTAAGCGTACCTGAAAGCCGACGATACTCAAAAGCGATATATTACCTCCAACGTGCACGAAAAGAGGTATTTTGTGTATCGCTTCCATAACAGCAACGAATCTAACAAAACAGATATGAAATTATATTGCTTTAACACACATAGCCGGCCTACTGTCTAAAAAAGAAAAAGTGCTTAAACCTTTTGCCAGCATTTAGTTAGAGATGTGTGTGCGTGTGGACCTACTAACCGTATCGCTTCTTTGTGCCTTCGAATACTATACACAATATCGGAATGAAGTTTACTTTTCATGGCTGTCGGCATAAAATTGTCGTCGCAAGTTTCAAATTTGAGTATATTTTCCAAGCAGTACCTAAACTTTCACATTGTTAAACATTAAAAAAAAAAAAACCGAAGATTCGATTTCAAAGTCTACAATAACATTGATGAAACTCGCCTTAGAGCCGCGAACAAACCGCAACAATGCTGAACCAGCGTCAGATACAAAACATCGAATGTGAGCATCAAAACCGAATAAGACGTAACGCATATAGCGGTGTGTAAAAAAATCGGGATATAGTAGGTTTCTAGATCGATCATGTAATTGGCGCGATATGGCAGTCCCGCTTGCGCGCCGCGTAGATTATTCGAGGGATTGTCCTCGGTAGGTTCCACGTACAAAAGTTTAATTAATAGTGTCAAAAGTATGAAAACTACAGTATGACTCAGTAAGATACCTGATTTGAAACACGTTGTTTTTAATCTTTTATGTTATTTCTAATTATTATCTTTTGAGAAAAAAAAGAACGTTAACTTGAAATAAATTTCTAAAAAAAAGAGAGAGAGAATGCGTAAAAGTAATGTGTAACATTTGCGTTGTATAAATGAATAATTTACCTGTATAAACGTATCCCAGATTTCGCCCGTACAGTGAATACGAATGTAGTATTTTAGTCTCCTCGTCCGACTTGGGGGAGTATTGATACTCTCTCATCTTCGCCAGAAGTATCTTAATCTGCACAGCTCGAAGTCAATTTAAATACGATTATTAAGTACAAAATAATTTAAATTACACCGTCTGGGCGTCATGGCAATAATTTTATCTGTTACTGGTTTTTTTTACGCACCTCCGGCAACGTGTGCACCGCGCAGATCAATTTCGTAATCGATACTAAACCAAGTGTCAACAACGGCAAGCAATCGACTACCTCGAAAGAATCTGGCCAAACCTCGATTATACCCAGAATCTGCATTCGGCACAGGATTTAAATCGTTATTGTGGTTCGCGACGATAACAACGAAAAACTTAACGCACGTGTACCTCAAACGTCAAGCCAGATCCGAACACGAACAGAAATCCGAGATATATCGCGCGACGTTTGCGCGCGTTGTGACAGGGCCACAGGCCGCTGATGCTCAACAGAATCCGAATAATGTTGTAATGCGACTTCTGAAAGAACCTATCGACGTCGTCCATATCGTTTATTATCCGGAGCTTTGTGTGAGAATGAAATTCATTTACCTCGCGCGGTATAGATCACACGGTCGGTAGAGCTTATGTAAAATTCCGTTTAACCGACGCCGTTTAACGGACATGATTACCGTGTGCGTGTCGTAAAACGATGCACACACCGCTCTTCTTACCTATTATCAAACCTAATACAAGAAACGAGAGTTCTTTGTAATTCATCACGCACAAATAGACATTCAGTACAGACGTCGCATTTATCTATCGCGAGTTGAAACAAGAGCTACGAACATTCTTTTCAAGTGTGTTTGACTTTACAGAAGATATCCTTTATCAAGAAAACCATTTAAATTCGCAAATTGTCAAAGGAAGATCGCGGAAATTGCGATCTTTTGTTTCACTTTGTGACAATGTACTTTGAGAGACGGAAATTTCATGATGTAGTGAGAAATGGTACGAAACGTCACTTATTGCTGGTAAAACGTTCTTTCACAAAATTATAAAGTGAAAATCTAATAATATTTATTAGACAATCACGTGATTGATGTAATCTTTCGTGATTAATGCATTTAAACATTCACACTTTACTTGCACAGAGCGAAGAATTTAGTTTTTATTCTATATTCGTTATATATATATATATATATATATATCTAAGCGAAAACCAACACTATATTATAACAAACTGAATTTCCATGCAACTATCAAATATATCATATACGTATATTATCGATTACACATTTTCGTTCACATTCACACTTATTTTTCTCACAAAGATCGTAAAAGCATAAAATATGATGCCGATGAACGAACCACCTTAAACAAAATATTATTTTAATAGAAAAGTTGTCTCTCTCACACAATAAAATATTTTTAAAAAATACTTTTAATAACAATAGTAATTTACATATATTACTTATATGTACTTACCGCATTGAAAGTTATGTATGACAAGACGACTAATTTACCGGCAGTGAGTGATAACGATTGTTTGCTTTCCATCATAATCATTAAGAGAAGTTTCTTTGTCGCTATTGACATGTTGTACCATTTGGTGTTGTATCTGCAAATTTTGCACAAGCGAGCTCAAATTTTCTTCCGCGTATATTTATTTATATTTGATAGCTTTGTTATATCTCTCATATGTCGGCAGATATGTCACGCAATTTGTCACGCTTTGGAGACTGTATGTATGAAACGTACGCGGATTCGAACACTTTCTCACTGGAATTTATGATTTTCTGACCTTGCCAATTTTCAAAAAACACATTGAACAAGAGTCCGTTGAAATAAGAAACGTGATGTACAATGAGACCGACATCAGTAGTTGTTGCTATCTGAAAGTAAGATAAAACACGTAAGATAATATTATATAGATAATATTACATTAATAGAGTAACACAATTTTTTCACAGAGATATTTCTTTTATTTACAGACAACTTAATAAACAATCTTTGTATACAAAACGCAAGATAAACAATAGGTGGGTGTACATCAAGAAGTGTTTTGAAAGTATGTAAAACTTTTTGTCACGTGTGTCTACCTGATATTCCAGGACGCTTAAGATCAACAAGCTAGATGCTAAATGTACAAACAAAGGTACATTAAACACTGAATTCATAATGGCAACAAATCTGTTAGAGAAATATTAATTTATTGTTACTGTGTTTATTTGCATACATGTTTGATTGCACGTGAATGAATCTTTGTTGTTAGTACCGAACATGTACTTACTGCATTGTCTCTGTGTGTCTACGAATACTATACACAATGTTTAAGTAACATTTATCCTTTGTGGATGTTCTCACAAGCAAAACGTTATTGTTACATTCGTGCTCAAACGCGTTTTCCAGCCGATATCTGAAGCTCAGTATATCAATCAAGAATTTATAAAGCATAAAAAAAAAAACATTAGCACCGCGTGGTTCTCCAAGTAACGAGCCGTTTATTAATAGCGTTAAATGTGCATTTGCATTTTGAACTGGCATATTTTCTCTTTTGTTTCACTAATCATCAGACTTACCTCAGGGCCTCAAATTGACCGCAGCAGTGTTCGATTAGCGTCACGTAGAAAACGTCCAATGTTACTGACACAATCAAGAGACACATGTGAAATGTGGTTATATGTATGAAAATCGGGACGAAGTACGTGTCCACATCGACCATGTAATTGACACGATAAATTATTCCAGGTGGAGGACCCTTTGATTTACTCGAGAGTGTGTCGTTCTTATCAGATTGTGTATGAATGAATTTAGCCACAAATGTTGTGACTATGAAAATAACCCCGCAGCTCATAATAAAGACTATTTTGCAAATAAATAAAATAAGCGTCAAATTTTCGTGTAATATTCGTTATTTGTACATGTACATCACTTTCAACATCTATTCAGAAAATTACACAAACATAAAGTCTTCACATAACGCAACATCCGAAGAAATTGCAATATTATTACTCACACTTGTTGCATTACTAGTACATTTGTTTAAAACTCACTCGCATAAACGTAGCCGAAATTTCGTCCGTACAACGCGTGAGAATTTTGTATTTTAGTTTCTTCATTCGATTTCGGAGACAAATAATACTGATGCATTTTTATTAAAAGTGTCTTGATCTGCGGCTCGAAAAAAATTTAATCGCATAATTATTTTTGAACTTGCAAACGACAGTTCGTAACCTCATATAATTATGAAACGCACTAGTGTTCTTAACGCACCTTTGGTAATTTGCACACTGCGCAAGTCGAACGGCACGTTATAAATACACCCAAAAAAAACAACGGCATGGAATCGATCACTTCGAAGATATCGTGCCAAACTTGCGCTATACCGAGTATCTTTGTTTGCCACAAGTTGCGTTAAGCATATGTAAAACACAAATCGTGCATAATTGTAATCAAATTCTTACGAAATTATTACACATATTAATTTCTTTATATTAATTAAAGTAACTGTTCAAATTAGAAAAATCAGGACGTCACGCACACGCGTGCGGTAAATTTCGACGTAAAAAAATATAGTTTCCGCGTGATGTTTTCCTGTACATATGTACCTCAACCATGACTCCAGATCCTAATATCAATATTATTACTAGGTATATGGTGTAGCGTCTGCCGGCTGTATGAAAAGGCCATAGACCAATGCCGCTTAATGATATTCGAACGGAGTTGTAATGTGACTCCTGAAAGAAATGATCGATATTGTCCATTCCGTCTCTTGTCGCTATCACTACTGCGTAACAACAAAATATAGTACGGTAATATCTCTCTGTTTTACGAATTTCGTTTGGCACGAGAGAGATCGATTGATTGTACGATTACGCAAAGGTAAAGTCGCACAAATTGCATGATTACAGAAGAAACTACATGATGAAAGGAAACGTGAAAATTTTATTTGCACAGTTTCTCAAGATGTTCGAAAAGGAATCGGCTTTACGGTAGTTGCGTCAAAAGATAATTGTCTTATAGCGTGCGTTTACTCCTTTTCAGGTATCACTGTTTAACGTTATTGTTACATCAAAGTCTATACACTGTATACTGTTTTAAGAGAGAGAAAAACAGGAAATTAAGTTAGAGCATGAATATCAATATTTTTTTACCTCTGAAACAGCGAGATGTGAATTTAGATTGTCGCTAGTTGCCTAAATGTTTTCAAATCGGGCATTTTTTAATTTTACAGAAGAGAAGCGTGTGATATTGTTCTTGCAATACGTGTAATGTGTTATTTTGTTACAATATAAGTAGTTCTGTAAATTGATCTAAAAAAAGCTTTTCGATTTGTGTTGTTTACGTTTACTTAGTTTTCGTTTTCTTTTTCGAAAGCTGGTCGGGCCATCAGATGCCGAACTATACTGGTAAAATTTATACGTGTACGTAAGTATTGCAAGTTGCGCTCTCGATATTTGAAATGTTCCGAAATATTGTTATATTATTAAACAAATATCAACACGTTCTTCTAAGTATTATATCGTTTACGTAAGAAAAATATAGTTTACGTAAAACTTGCATATGTACGTACAAATAAAGACTTATGAAAGACATTATTTAAATAACATGAACTGAATTGTATGCCAAATGATATCTTATATGACGAGACATTAATTACAAAAAGTTTTCAAGTTGAGATTATCACTAGTTTAAGAGATATTGTTAATTATATAGAAAAAACAATTTAGTCTTTATTCTATTTTTGTATCTAAAAGAAAAGTAACATTCTATTATAACAAAATGAATTTCCATGTTACTATCAAATATGTCATATACGTAATATCGATTACACATTTTTATTCACATCCACACTTTTTTTCTCACAAAGATCGTAATAACATAAAGTATGACAACGACGAACGAATCACCTTAAACAGAATATTATTTTAATATAATATTTTAATAATTATTTTAATAAAAAATTGCACACAGTCAATAGAATATTTTAAAATAATACGTTTAATAATAATTTACATAATTAGTTATATGCACTTACTGCATTGAAAGTTATGTAAGACAATACGATTAATTCACCGGCAGTGAGTGTCAACGATTTTTTGCTTTCCATCATAATCATTACGAGAAGCTTCTTTGTCGCTATTGACATATCGTACCATTTAGTGTTGTATCTGCAAATTTTGCACACTCGAGCTCAAATTTTTTTCCGCGTACATTTATTTATAATTGATGGCTTTGTTATATCTCTCGTATGTCCGCAAATATGTCGCGAGATTTCTCACGCTCTTGAGACTGTATATATGAAACGTACGCAGATTCGAACACTTTTTCACTGGAATTTATGATTTTCTGACCTTGCCAGTTTTCAAAGAACACAGTGAACAAGAGTCCATTAAGATGAGAAATGTAATGTATAATGAGACCAACATCAGTAGTTGTTGCTATCTGAAAGTAAGATAAAACACGTAAGATAATATTATATAGATAATATTACATTAATAGATTAACACATGTATTTCACAAAAATATTTTTTTTATTTACAAATAACTTAGTAAGCAATTTTCGTGTATGATACGCAAAATAAAAAATACGTAGGTGTATATCGAGAAGCGTCTTGCACTTGTGTAGAAATTGTTGTCATCTTGTTTTGTCTACCTGATATTCGATGACACTCAAAGTCAATAAGCTAAATGCCAGTTGTGCGAACAAAGGTACATTGTACACTGATTTCATAATGGCGACGAATCTGAAGAAATATTAATTTATAGTTACTGTGTTTGCAAGGTGAATGAATCTTTGTGTTAGTAGGTGAGCATGTACTCACTGCATTGCCTCTGTGTGTCTACGAACGCTGTACACGATGTTTAAGTAACATTTATCTTTCGTATATGTTTCCACGAGCACAGCGTTACTGGTACTTTCGTGCACAACCGCATTTTCCAATCGGTATCTGAAGCTCAATATATCAGTCAAGAATTTATAAAACAAAAATAGAAACGCGTGATTGTTTAATTGACGAGCCGTTTTAATTAGCACGCTTCTGTTTCACTAATCGACAGAATTTATCGTCGGACTCACCTCAAGGCCTCGAACTGACCGCAGCAGTGTTCAATTATCATCAGGTAGAAAGCGTCTAATGCAAGCAACAAAGTCAAAAGAGACATGTGGAATGTGGTCATGTGTATGAAAATTGGGACGAAGTACGTGTCCACATCGACCATGTAATTCACTCGATAAGGTAATCCCGGTGGTGGACCTTTTGGTTCACTCGAGAGTGTGACGTTCTTGCCAGATTCCGTGTGGGCGAATTTAGCCACAAATGTTGTGACTATGAAAATAATCCCGAGGCTGAATACAAAAACTAATTTGCAAATAAATAAAAGAGGCGTCAGATTTTCGAGTAGTTTTTGTTTTTTGTACATGTACATTACGTGCTTTTAACAACTATTCAGAAAACACAAACATATATTCTTCACGTAACATCTGCAGAAATTGAAATTATTACTCACACACGTTGCGTTACTTAGTGTATTTGTTTTAAACTCACTTGCATAAAAGTAGCCGTACTTTTGACCGTACAACGCGTGAGAGTTTTGTATGTCAGTTTCTTCATTCGATTTCGGAGACAAACAGTACTGACACATTCTTATTAAAAGCGTTTTGATCTGCAGCTCGAAAAAATTTATTCGCGTAATTATTTTTGAATTTGCAAACAAGAGTTTGTCTTATAATTGTTATAAAAAACGCACAAGTATTCTTAACGCACCTTTGATAACGTACACACCATGTAAATCGTTCTAAATATTATTTTTAAGTTTAAAAAAAACAACGGCACGGAATCAATCACTTCGAAGGAATCATGCCAAACTCGCGCTATGCCGAGTATCTTTGTTTGCCACAAGTTGCGTTAAGCATATGTAAAACACAAATCGCGCATAATTTTAATTAAATCCTCACGAATATATTACACGTATTAATTTCTTTATATTAATTAAAGTAACTGTTTAAGTAAGAACAATCGAGAAGCTTTGCACACGTTCACAGTAAATTCCGAGATTAAAAAACATAGATTTTGCGTGATGGTTTTTTCTTGTATGTACCTCAACCATGATTCCAGATCCTATTACTAATATCATTATGAGATATATGGTGTAGCGTATGCCGGCTCCATGAAAGGGCCATAGACCACTCCCGCTTAATAATATTCGAACAAAGTTGTAATGTGACTCGTGAAAGAACTGATCGATATTGTCCATTCCGTCTCTTTCGCTTGTTGCTATCACTACTGCGGAACAACAAAATACGGAAATATCTCTCTGCTTCAAGAATTTCGTTTGACAGGAGAGAGATCGATTAATTGTACAATTACGCGAAGGTAGGGTCGCACAATTTGCATGATTACAGAAGAAACTACCAGATGAAAGGAATCGTGAAAATTATATTTGCAAAGCTTCTCAAGACGCTTGTAAAGGAAGCGGTTTTCACGTTAAGTGCTTCGAAATATAGTTGTCTTATAGCGTGTGTTTTCTCCTTTTCGCTTATCACCGTTCAACATTGTTGTCACATCAAAGCCGTCATTGTTTACTATTTTAAAAATAGTAAGACGTTCAAAAGATAGAAGAACAGTAAATGAAGATTATATACGCGTGAGTATCGATACTTTTATCTTTAATTGTGTCATTCTTTGTAACACTTCGAAGTGCGTCACTCGTATGTGGGTGACACATGACTTTCCGCAAAGGAGCCGTCATCTATTTCTGATTTTATTTACTCGACTTTTGGAATCTATTCAGAAATCACACTTGAAACGCATCTGGCACTCAAAGTGTCAACGCTTATAGTATCTACATGATTGTACATTTCTTGCAGTTACGGTATATTTTATGAAACTTTTATTTTTAGTAGAACAAATTCTACGTTACTGTACAGACCGAAAAACAGTGAAATACGAAGCAGATGCACGTACGACCTAGAAGAAAAAGAAGATATTTTTGTCACATTTTCAGTAAGAGAACAACATTCCGCAGAGAAACTTACCGCGCTGAAACTCGGAAGAGAAAGCACCATAATTTTTCCAACAGTCAGTGAACAGGGCGTGATGCTTCTCAGCATTATCATGTTCAAGAGTTTCCTAGCCTTCGGCGACGATTCGTACCATTCGCCTCGGTAACTAGAGTGTGAAAAAATTTTTTATAAACTAGTAAATCTTATTCTATCGTTAAAAAATTGTAATCCTGCGAAAAATTTCTCGTGTTCTGATTTTCAGCTTACGTGCAATGTGTCACGGGACACGGTAATCGATGCGGTCTAACTTACATTGACGTGTACACTTGTTCGCTATGATCGATTATTTGTTGCCCCAGCCAGCAGGCGATGTACAAATGTAATAATTGAGCAATTATGTAGCCGCCGTGACGAACAGCGAGATGTAGATCCAGAGAATCACCAAGTGTTGCCTAAATGTTTATCAAATCAGACAATTTTTATTACTTACAGAAGAGAGCGTGTGATATTGTTCTCGTAACACATGTAATGTGTTATTGTTGCAATTTGAGTAGCTTGTTATATCGTGTGTGCATACAAACCTGTAGAGCTGACAAACTCATAGCTATTATAATCAAGCCGATCTCGATAAAGAACGCTTTCGTGTAAACTTTTTCCAAGCTGTTCGCGAATCTTGCACAAAAAAATATTTTGACAATCATCCAAGAGTTGTTTTTGAATAATAGATAATATACGGAATTTCGATGTGTTTTCTGCGCACAAGTCGTTTACTGACCGTAAAGCGTCCTCGTGTTTTTGAATGCAATATACAAAGTTCTTGTAAAACTTGTCGTCTTCTTCGAGCGAGGCGAGTTCTTGATCCTGTTTGATGGACTTTCGTATGTACTCGAGTCGAAATCTGCAAAAAGAAAGATCTAACTTTTCAAAACACTTTTTCACAGTCGACCGAATTGTAGAAACGTACCTGACAATTGAAAACAATGCGCAACAGTGTTGCACCAGAACAGCCACGCAAGTATCGGACGCGACTATGATGGTAAGGCGAATGGCAGTGGCCAGATAATTGTGCATCAGCACGGGATAATAATATTTTTCGAGATCAACGTAATATTCCACGTGATACGGAAATCCCAACGGCCGCGTCGAATAGTTGAAAGCTGCGTCGCTTGTGCCGATTATTTTCGGAATTATCGCCGCAACCGGAAAGAGACTGCCGAACGCGTACATACCGCCTGACAATATTGTAATTTAAAAGAAAATGTCTCAGAAAAAATAGATTTCTATCGATCTCGTTCATCTCACCAGCGTAGCCGATCGTGATGCTTCTGCCGTTCTCGGCAAATTTACGCAGAATTTCGAACTCGCTTTCGATGGCCCACATTTGCCAGTCCCTCTGTACGTGTATGAGAAGTATTTTGATCTACGGCTTGTGAAAAATTCCATTTTTTTACAAATACACAATAAATATCGGATATGTAATACAGTCACTGTCGGCGTACCTTCTGCATATTGTTCATCAGGTTCAATAGCTTGACGATGCAAGCGCAGTCTACTATGAGGGGCGGTATACATTCGAGCGTCGCGTTCAGTTCGCCACGTAACGTCACCAAGGCAAGTGTCTTGAACACACGGAGAAAAAAATATTGAAATATTGTGCAAACATGCGATTAGAAAGAAAGCAACAAGGCTTTGTACCTGCGCGATCGCTTGCGTTATGCCAATAAACGACACGGTAACGAAGATAGCTCGTCTGTCTCTGTCCCTCTGAAATGGCCAATGACCCAGTAACGAGAGTAGCACACGATTGAGTCTATATAATCGTGACTGAAAGATGTCACTTGGTATATCCATTTTCGCTACTGCGTTACGACTGCATTTCCGTCGTCTGGTGTCGCCTCGCGCAATTTTCAGTCTAATCAAAAATTCTCTCAGAACGCGAGAATAATAAGTGCGTCGAGCAAACGGAGAGCCGCCGATGTAATTGCAAACATTTATACAACTGATTATCGTAAAATGATGAAAGGTCACACGGACAATTGAAAAGATACATTATCGCAACGTTTCTAAGATGTTTCTTTACGAATCGATTTCACACACACGTGACGTCCTCTTATAGTTCGCAGTACACGCGCTTTGTCACGAAAGCTTTGACATTATTATTGCGATTGTAATCGTTGGAAACTGTGGCGCTCGGCGAAGAAGTAAAATTCGCTCGTAAGTTTTAATATTTTTTAAAATTTAGTTTTATTGCAAATGTGTGAGCAAAGTTCTGATATTGCTTAAACAGCGCGGTATTGTATATTTGTTTATTTGTATATTGTTTATTGTATATTGTATATTTGTTTTTTTTTTTTTTTTACATCTCCGCAGTAATCTTACATATTTTACAACAGAACTTTGAGAAAAATATATTGAATTACTGTACAGATTGCAAGACGGTGAAGTACGAAGCAGATGCACGCACGACCTAAACAAAAATAATAAAAAAACACATTCTTCTTTTCTTTAGACAGACAATTTCTTTCTACGGCGGAAATCGTGACGATACTTACCGCGCTGAAACTTGGAAGAGAAAGTACCATGATTTTCCCGACAGTCAACGTACAAGGTGAGATGCTCCTTAACATTATCATGTTCAAGAGTCTTTTAGATCTGCAAGATGTTTCGTACCACTCGCCTCTGTAACTGGCGTTAAAATTTTTATTTGAGTGATAAAAGGCTTGTTAAACAATATTGTTGAAGAACAACTTCTGTTCGCTCGTTTTCCTTGTTATTACTTTATTCTAGCCGATATCTTTCGTTACAAGTTTTCTTCAAAATAAAAATAGAAAATTTATAGAAAATTCACTATGCGATTTGTAAGATTTATAAAATTGTTACGAGCACAAAAAACTGTTTTCTTTAACTTACATCGATGTGTAAATGTGGTCGCTATGATCAATTATTTGTTGTCCTAGCCAGCACACGATAAACAAATGCAATAATTGCGCCGTTATGTAGCCGCCATGTCGGAATGCGTTATGCGGTGTAAAGGAGTCAGTGGTCGCCTAAATGTTCCGAGAGAGACAATTTTTATTGACCGCGAATATAATCTTCGTTTTGTGTACAAAGTTGCGTAAAAGTTCTGTTATCGTCTTACCTGTAGAGCTGACAAACTCATAATAAGTATAATCAATCCAACCTCCATGAAGAGCGCTTTCATATACACACTCTCCAGGCACTTCGCAAATCTTATATAAAAAACAAGAGATTATTCACTGTTGCGTCAGTCTCACGCAACTAAAATGTCGCTATCTCATGCAACTTTACGTTACAACACACGCGAATACTCACTGCAAAGCGTCTTCGTGCTTTCGAATGCAATACACGAAATTCTTGTAGATCTTGTCGTCTTCTTCGAGAAACGCAAGTCTCTTGTCCTCATTGATGGAGTTTCGTATGTGTTCTAACCGGTATCTGAAAAGCAAAGAAGTAAACAAAAACGAATCAGAATAGTTTGAGATTTTCTTTCTCGATGACAATTCGAGGCGTCAAATACGTGCCTGACTATCGAAAACAACGCGCAACAGTGTTGCACCAGAACAGCCACGCAGGCATCAGACGCGACTATAGCGGTCAGACGAATGGCGGTAGTCAGATAATTGTGAATCAACACGGGGTAATAATATTTCTCGAGATCCACGTAATATTCGACGTGATACGGGAATCCCACTGGTCGTGTTGAGTAGCTCGACGTTACATTTTTGCCGAGTAACTTCGGAATTATCGCCAGAAAGGGAAAGAGGCTGCCGAATGCGTAAAGGCAACCTGAATTCACGCGGGAGTTTAAATTTTCGAAGTCTTTGAGTAAAAGCAAAACAATATTGACGCGTTTTTTTGGAAAACTTCGGTATCAAGCGACTCACCAGCGTAGCCGATCGTAATGCTTCTGCCGTTCTCGGCGAACTGTCGCAAAATTTTGAATTCGCTAACGGTGGTCCACGATTGCCAATCTCTCTCTATGTGTTTAAAAAGCATCTTGATCTACGGCTTGAAGTTTTTTTATCTTGTCAGAACTGTGTTGTTGTCGCGTCGAAATTTGATAGCGCGATACGCGTTACTTACCTTCTTCATATTCAATGTTAAATTTATCAGCTTGACAACGCACACGCAATCTATCAAGAGCGGCACCGCGCACTCGAGCGTGGCGGTCAGGTCTCCGCGTAATGTCACTATGGCGAGCGTCTTAAATTGGAGATGTGAATGCAAAAGAAAAATCGGAAAAATATAAAATTTTTCTAGTCAGTTTGAAAATCTTTAGAAAAATCTTTTTCCACTTCGAGCTACGGTTAATTAAATTTGTTGAAAATCTTTAATTGTAAAATATTGGTTTATATATGCAAAACATTTATTGAAACGCGCGAAAATTCAGTAAAAAGATTATCCAAAAAAATATTAAAACTATATCGGTATATAAAACTCTAAACGCGCGCGTAACGTTTGTATTATCACCTGGGCGATCGCTTGCGTGATACCAATGAGCGAAATTGTAACAAAGACAACACGTCTGTCTCTGCCCCTTTGAAAAGGCCATTGTCCCAGCAACGATAACAGCAGACGGTTCAGTCTGTATAATCGAGACCGGAAGATATCACCCGGCGGTGTGTCCATTTTCATCGTTCGATCGCGTCTGTCCTTGCCGATGTCGCCTCGCGATTTTCAGTCTAATCAAAAATTCTCTCTGAGAGAGAATAGCGAGTGGATAAAACGAATCGTCAGCAAGCCGAGTAATTGCGATCATTCACAGAGCTAATTATCTTACCGAATAAACAAGAAAGGCTCGACAATCGCCTTACGTATCGTGTGACGCGTTCGAAACGTTCTTTTACGATTGATTTTGTATACATTGAGGTCTCCGTAGTTCACACTTCTGCTTCGTAAAGAGATCTTTGACGGTATCGAATATTATCGTATGTTGTTTATCAGCAATGTTACTAGCAATCCGTTTCTTCAATTTCATAGAAATCATAGTGTTAGATTTGCATGCGATTTTGTAGAATAAATTTTTGTTATGCTGTATAGAGAAAGTGAATCCGCTACGTAAAACGTTGTGAAAAGCAACATATATTTTCATTTTTTGTGCAATATTAAATGTTTTAATGCGTATGAAATAACTGACAACAGTCTTTAGATCGTATTAATCTATTTCGCAAAGTACTGAATTAAGTACAGATAAAAACACTAATGTCAAACTATGTGATAGCGTGTATAAGAGTGTCTCGTAGCCGAATATGATAGCCGTCATGTTAATACCAGATCATCGATTATCGCATAGACGTTAGTACAGTGAAATAAGACATGGACGCTTGCACGACCTGTGTAAAAACATTGTATTCACTTTGATATCGCGCGCTTTCAGATTTTTTTTTATTATACACATAAGACGTTAATATCGCGATTTTACCATAGATATGTGGATTTTGCGCGTGCAAAGAACGTAAACTACAAAATATCTTCCGATGTATGAAATTTTTCAGAAAACTTCTTCGCAATCCAAAATTGATTTGTTTAAAAAAAAAACAGTGTCTTACCGCGCTGAAATTTCTTAAAGACATGACGTTCATTTTGCCGGCCGTAATCTGACACGGTACTTCGCAGCGCATCAACATCAGGAACAGCAACTTTCTTGCTCTCAAGGAAACGGCATACCAATTTGCGGCGCAACTGCGACATTGCAATGTTCACGTATTGTGCGATTGCGTGTTATATATTTTCTTTGTGTTATACAGAGTATCTGAAAACTTCTGACACTGCCAAAGTGATAAAATGACTTTTCTGTTCGGATTGACTCGATCTATCCTCACACTTGGGCTTTGTCAAAAATGTTTAGATATATTCTGTGTATGAAACATGTAAATACACGATGTTGCATTATCTTTTATCTTAAATGCAAAAATACAACTGCAAATTATTGTCAAATATTGTGTACTTTTGCGACTCTCGTTGATATTACTGATACTTATACTTGCTTACATAGATTGATGTACACTGGAGCTGTGATCTATCAATTTTTGCCCCGGCAGACTGAGGAAGAGAAAGTGCATCATCAGACACACGGCCGTTATCGCGAACCTAAATGCCTCCGCAGGTTGATCGAAATTTATCACTGCCTAATTAAAAATTAATCACAATAATAACACTCACTCAACAAGTCATTCCGTATAACGAGAAGATGCAATCCTTTCGGAGGTGTGTGATCTCAGGCTAAGTAGTTAATCATATTCTTTAAACAATATTTAACATTTATTATATCATATTATTGTAACATGTTTACCTTTTGCTTACAGAAAAAAATAACCGAAAATTACTGTATCAACAAGATTTTTGCAATTCTTTGTCATACTGATTTCGTGAGTATTCGAAGTTTATTACTATACTATAATTTCCAATGTACGTGTAATATACTCGTACTTGTCATTAATATTCTATATTCTTGTACAAACCTGCACTCCGCTAAATGTCACAACTGTCACGTTCAATATCGTCAGCACAAGCAGAGACATGCTGTACGAGGACGCCAATAATTCAGCAAACCTAGAGAGAGTATATTTTTATCGAAGAGAGAATATTTTTTTATCGAAGTTTATATAACAGACTATTTTAATAGTCTATTTTTTCACTCAAGTTTTTTTATTAATATAAGTCTGCTATCAAAAAAAAAGCAATCCGCTCATGTAACACCTACTGCAACACTTCTTTATGTTTTATGGCGCTGTCGCTAATCTCCCGATAACATTCGTCGTATTCGTGTAGCGAACAAACGTTGATATCGAGATTGTCGTCTTGTTTCACATTTTCTAACTGATATCTGCAGGAAATGTCAAGCTGATAAAGCTTTCTAAATTACCTACAGACTATCGCACATTCGAGTTATGAATGTGGTACAATGTACACAAATTTGTAGTTTTATTTTCACGTACGTACCCTACGGCATGAAAAAGACCGCAAGCGTGTTGCACGTACACTATCAGCATAGAGTCCGCCGCTACCGGGATAGTCATCAGAAAAAAGGTGGTGTAATACGAGTGCAGCAAGATGATGTAATAATATTTCTCCACGTCGAAAACAGCCTCCACGTGATACAGCAAGCCGTACATTTGCGTTTGATTCGCGCTAGTGAAAATCGCCACGATGGACGGCAGGATGGGTATGGTTATGTACATGGACATGGAGCCGTACATTATGGCTGTAAAGTATTTCGTTAGCGCGCGAGCTTAAAAATTTTATAAGGTGACGTAAAAAATCACAGCATGTGTATAAAAATGTACGTCCCTTAAAACCTCTTACCCGCATACATCTTAGTCAGCTTTTTGCCTTTGTTGGTGTAGTGGTTTAAAATTTCGATCTGAGCGTCGTACGTCGCCAATCGCCAGCTATCTCTCATTTGAACAAGAAGACGCTTAAACTGTTGTTAAAATTCACGTGCGACATTATGTTACGTATTTGATAGTGCTCTAAGTGAATTTCGTACGTTACGAGCGTTAAACAGACAGTTGAAGAACTTCACGAGACATAGTAGGTCGATGATGATAGGAGAGGAACATTCGATCACGAGATCCCAGTCTTGCCACGATGCCACCAGACCGCACATCTGACGCAAAAAATAAAAAAGTTGTCAAAGTATACTGCGAATATTTACAAAAACAATTTAAAAAAAAAAAAAAATGTAAATTGCGCCTCAACTTGCAAGCAGAATTGACCGCCCACAGCGAAGATGAGATTGAAGGAGAGAAAGTATTTGTTAAAACCGGATTGTTCCGGCCATTGGCCGATCCACGACATGAAGAGCCGATTGATTTTATAATGCTCCGCGCTCATCCTAATTCACTTCCGAGAACTGAAGTGTGTCCGTATAAAACTGGCCGCGATGAAGTACGAACGGAAGTAAATCTTCCCCGTTTATCTCGTATTCCGTTGGTGAATATCCCCAACGTGTAATGGTAGCGGTGGAAATTTGCATGGCTGATGACGGCGTCATTAAGAAGAGCGCGATCGATCGCACGTAAGTAACCACGCACGATTGCGTAACCACAAGAACACAAAGAAGAACATTAATTCCGCGCTCGTGTGTGTATACCTTCGAAATATCTTTTATAAACGAAAGACTCCCGGTCGCTGCTGAAAAAGGCAAATTGCCGCAACTGCTCGTTTTCTGCAAAGCAACTTCTCGTATCGTGTTGTACACGTTGTTGTAACAAAAGAACCAACAAGTGCATACTAACGTAAGATTAATATTAAAAATTAATTTAGTTTAAAAATATATTCAATCAGTGCGCTAAAACAAAAATTGTATACGCAGGGGTACGTATGTTACTTTTAACGTATATTTACATAAATTAATGTTTTAAAAAACAATCAAGCTAGAATAATCACTATATAGGTTACGTCTGGTTTACGTTGCGCGAAGTTTATTATAATTGCATTGACGTGAGCATCGTGAAGTAAGACATCGACACTTGCAAGATCTGCAATAATAAATAAAACATCGTAAAAACGTTTTGATTTTTCAGTCAAATGTTGAATTGAATTTTTTATTATTGCATGTTTTTTTCTACACGTACCGAGCTGAAAGTTTCCATCGACATTACGTACATTTTGCCCGCTTTTATTTGGCACGGTCTCGAGGCACGTAATAAAGTCAGTTTTAACAAGTGTCTGCATCTCAGTGAGGTCGTGTACCAGTTGCAGCTGTAACTGCAAATCGATTTTCCACATGCAACAATCGAAAATTAAAATCTTTCGATTTTTTTGTATTTGCTAATTAATACACACATTGTTGTTTGAAATTCGCTGCTAGAATCGATTATTAGTTGAGAGCTCAAATTCAAAACCAAAAGGTGCAATAATTGCGCCAAGTTGTTGGTAAGTATTCTGATAATTTCATCCACCTGAAAGTCCGCCATTATCAGCTGAAACAATAAACAAACAACATTTTATTAGATATTGAAGCGCAACAACTTCAAGCAAGTTAAAGAAAAACAAATTTGTTTACTTCAGCCGCGGTGAAACTTAAACATATTACTGTGGTTCCCAGCACGATGAGGAAAGACATTGCAAAAGTAGATGAGAGCAACTCTGAAAAGCTGCGTACAAGAAAATGAAATCTCTTCAAATTTATCACATATATAGGGTGTCTGATATGTTATGACAGTACCGACACTTACTCTAAAGTGTGTTTGTACCACTTGATGCAGTATATTATGATGTCGTAATCCTTGTCGTCTGTTATGTTTGGCCTGAGCGTTACGTTCGTGCGTGCTGGTATCTGCTCCAAGTTGTACCTGATGAAATAAAAATACGGTATATTGTTCAACATCATTCATTTATAAAAATGAAATTATTCTAGACAGCACATGTCTCTAAAAGACGATTTAAAATCGTCTTATTGTCTCTTTATTTTTTATTTCATTAATAGATGTTCGACATCTGCAATGTTTTTTAAGTCGTCTTTTAGTTCGATCCGCTGTCTGGAATTTCGAAACAGCGAAACTCGCCGTATGTTCTCGAACAGCGAACAGATATGCTGCGCGCAAACCATGAAGAGAGTATCGAGAGCTATCGGTACCGACACTAGGTAGAACGTGGCGAGGAATCCGTGGAACATCAACAGATTGAAGTATTTGTCCATGTTTACAACGTGTTCCAAACGATACAGAAATTTGGCCTCGTAGGTGTCGTTCGTTGGCAATAAGCGATACACTCCGCTAACAATGACTGGCATCGTAGAGTAAAACACCCACGTCACATAAAGACCGACTGGAACGAGTGCGACACACACGTCTCGTTTTTTATGAATTTCTCCCGTGATTTAATTGTATCTCTGATGTCTTGATGGTTTTTTTTTTTTTATATGTTTACACAATAACACGAAGAGTAGATGTGTCAATTTTTACAATAAGAACAACTCACACGCGTACTGCTTGGAGAAAACCTTGCTCTTCTCCGCGTAACTCCGCAATGTCTCATTCTCCGGACCGTCTTGCTTCATCTTCCAGGTTTCCTCGATGTCATCTATAAGTTTCTTTATCTGCAGCTCAAAGAAAAAATCGTTCGATTTAAAAAATTACAAAATAAGCGATTAGTTTTATTCGCACAGGTGGAAAGCTTATTTTTAATTTTTACCGACTTTGTGCTTATTGAAGAAACAATTGGATAATTTCACGATGATGAAGGTGTTCACCAACAGTGGCGAACTGTTCTCCATGACAATGCTCATATCTTTTATCCCGGCTATCAGGCCCCAGAACTATACAGAATATCAGAGACATATGTTAGAGTCTTGATGGACGCGCGTATCCGTTTCGTATATCTAAAACTGTCTTCTAAACACCTCGAGCGCCGTCGAGCTGAAAATAAAGAACACCGCGGCGGCGAGCATCACGTTGGCTGTCAGTCGCGACTGATATGGCCATTGGCCAATAACGATCAGAAAATTTTTGTTCAGATAATAATAGCGGTTGTCGTAGATTGTCGACATTTCGCGTTTTCATCAAAGAAAACTCTGCGATCGACACCGATCGCGCATCTCGAATATTCAATTGAACGCGGATAGCTCATAGCGCATTCTCTCTGAAACAATGTCAAATAGAAAATTGCCGTGTCTTTCGAGAAACGACGACTTTAATGACACGCAATAGAAAAGAGCGCGTCGCATATTTATGAAGAGTATAAAGTGAGTTATATGTGTTTCTCTCGATACACACTTTATACTATCGACGAGGTATAACCAGACGATTGTATATATCCATCGCGTTACAAAGTAAGCAGACACTGTATGAGATGGTTATAAAGTCTTCTATCAAAGTGAAGACAAAATCGCCTTTCTATGTCTTTAAGGTAGATAGAAATGAATTGGGGGAAGAGAGAGGAATTTCTTTGCTTTTTCTACTACGTTGCGGAATAATCGATACTCTCTTAAGTTTAGCGCGATTTTATACAATATCTGTGTTATAAAATCGCATGTAATTATATTGAAAACAAAGTACAAACGTATCCAGCGCTACTGCAGCAAATAATATTTTTAAGAAAAAAAAGATTGATAATGATATATATTTTTTTTATAGACTCATAAGGTAACCAACAACACCTTGCGAGTCTCTTGTATTTTCAAACTCTGCACACGGTAAAATAACGAACGTTATCCACCTGCGTTAATGGTTCGATATACCTACTGGCGATACGATTGCTTGTCGATATACAGGTATTGTAGAAAAGATATTACTAAAAAGAAAAGTGGAGTAATAAAATGTTGCTACGTTTCTATGTTTAAGAATTGTTCTTAATATAATTGTAGAACTTGATAAGTTTTTTTTTTTGGTCAACAACTTTCGTCCTGTCTCAGAAAATTGAGTGAACAAAAAAAGAGAACTGCGATGACGGAAGATCAATAATTACCCGTGCATATACACAACAACAAATGAGGTATGTTTATTCGTCAATTGTTTTCTCGACAACCAACTTACAAAGAAACCGCAAGACTGCAGATGGCGGATGCTCACATGTTATTATCTGAGTTTTTAACGTAACGATACCATTAACGTAACGTACGAGACAGATGTTTTCATGATCTTAAACACAATGCAATAATTATGTTAAGTTATTTTTTTTTCTCTCGTCGAAATTACAAAACTTTACAAAATTCAAATGAATTCTTTGAATTGTTGTTTATTTTGAACTAAAACCAAACTGTTTATAGAAGTTATGTCAGTTTTGTCACAGGTAATATCTATCACGCACACATACCTTGCTGTAACTCTCCAAACTGATTACAAACAATTTGGCCATGGTTATGCGATACGATTTTTGACACTTCGCCAACAGAAGCGGTAATCTTTTCTTTATTTCCAAAGACGTTTCGTACCACATTCCCTTGTATCTGAATGTGCGTATTGTTAGTAAAAAAAATATATATATGTAATTTATAAAATTTAATCATTATATACATATATATATATATATATACAATACAGTATTGAGACAAGAACAACTTACGTCGCAACCGGAAGCTGACAGCTGTGATCTATTATTTGCTGGCCTATCCAGCAATTAAAGAAAATTCGCGAAATTTGCATAAACAATAACGGACCGTATCTTATCATCTCCATGCTATCCTCGCAGGTTACGATCTGTGAAATAATGTAATACAAATTTGTGATTTCGAGTTTCAATTCTATATTCACGCAAGAAAAAACTGTTTCCTATTGAGAAAATCGTCGTGTTATCAAATTTGATTGTCTATGTGTATTTCTATATTTACTCCATATGTACCATTACACACGCGGAACATTGTAACAAGATGCCAAGACCTATGTCGCCGGTGAGAGACATCGCGAATGTCGAGTCAATTAGTTGAATTGTTCTATTAATAATAGAGAAATGTTAATAATAATATTAACAATATATATTAATAAAAAAAACATCTTTATTGTATTCATACACTTTACTCTTATTCGCATAAACCTTTCTATTCTGAGTTGCAGTTGCACGCACTGCGTCATATTTTCAACATTCTTGTCCCTTTTGGATGTGCGCCCATGATCTTTGTATCCGGATTTATCGTGCGCGTCGGCAAGTGTCTCCAAACGTTGACTATGTCACACAGAGAGAAAATTTTTCTTTTCGGAAAAAAAATTAAATCGATCTAAAATTTCGTACACATTTTACACTTACCATAATATGGCAAGCATACCGCAGACGTGTTGCAGCAGCATGAAGTAGACGCTATCGATCGCGATGAATATGGTGCAGGCCGCGAAATATCCCGCGTACGTAATCGACATGAGAATGTAATAATGCTTTTCCATGTCCACGAAGAACTCGGCCGAGTGCGGAAATCGTTTTGTTCTCGTCACGTTCTCGTTTGCTATAACAACATCGAGTATCCGTACGGTGAACGGCGCTGTAACGTAGCTGATTACGCCCGTCATGATGAAGACTGGAAAATAATCATCTGTTTTTTGACACAGTTACTTCGAGAGAATTACATCGTCAGGTATACTTGAATAGGCTTTCGTGAATATCCGACTTCTCTCGACGTACTCCATAAAAATTCGCATGTCCTCGCGCTTCCTCGTCACCAGACGCCAATCGTAACACACGTATTGAATGAGCATCCTAAACTAACAAGACGATTTTTTTTGTTTCTCAACAAAAAGTAACTTATATACGATTATTTCGATGTGAATTTGTTAAGAAACGCTTACTTTTTCGATTCCCGAACGAAAACTGATCGCCTTTATGAGGCCTATATATGAGCCAATGAGCGGCGGTAACACGTTGTACATATCGTCCACAGTTTCCGCACATTTTATCAGGTACGTGATCTATTGACAAGTTTATTACCGCGTGACTTGCTTACGGATATATGTAGTATCTACTTTTTTATTTTATTTTGTGAAATAATTCTTGACGTGTTAAATTGTCACAAATTTTTAAGTGCAACAATAATAATTGTAGAAGTTAACAGATAGTCTCTTGCAATTTTTGAATTTGCGTGCGATACTCTTTACGATACCTGCGGCAGCAATATACTCAGTGTGCCGACTATTATGCAACAGAAGAAAATAGTGTTTCTGGACGACGATTGGGCGGGCCACAAGCCGATTAAAGACAGCAACACTTTGTTGAGTTGCAAATATCGGTTGTCAAAGGCGTCCATTGGTCGGTCGTTTAAAGCGGAATCTTTGAGCAACTTCTTCATCGAGGTAAAGTTTCCCGTTTCAGTCGTAAGTCCGCTACGCGACTCATTTGATATTCCGTTGCGATGTCAAAGAAGTGTTGCAAAGAAACGTATATATGTTAGTGTTTGAATGGAATCGGTAATAAGGGGTGGGTGCTTGCACTTCGGTCGTGAGTATCCGGTGGCATCTTCACCATGTTCGATCTATAATCAAACTGCTAAAATATTCAGTCTTATTCATTCTTCAGGAGAGCGTGTGTATGCAACAAAGAGCCGTTTTCAATGTTCGTTCATTCGAGACCAAATAGAATTTATGATAACGAATGTTCCGGGTTTCGCAAAAGTGTGCATCTTCTTCGAGATACCCATCGAAGTGCCACCACTACGATGTGAATTACGAACGCGAAGCGTTTTGCGCGCATTTGTATGGAGACGGTATATAGAAGAAGCGCTAAAAATATTACAATACAGGTAGATATAAATATAATTTATTTGCTGTGTTTTTTCAATACGAATATCTACATTGATTATAGAAATATACGTCACATCTTTAACCCTTTACAATTGAACGTCGAGTTAACGTAATTAATTTGGACCAGAATATTGAGAATGAGAAAAAAATATAGAAAAAAAAACTGCAAAGAGTTAACACAGTAACACCTGAGTTGTTGCGCGAAAGATGAGAAATACGTGTGTGTGCGATCGAAGAATTTTATTTCACGCGCCTTCTGATGTTTCCCGCAGCGAGATCATCACCGTGCAATAGGAGATCGACATTCTCATCACCTTGAAGACAAGACATTCACTATATATATACATGTTCTATTTTGTTGTCCGCGATAAGTGTCGGATTTTTACGCGATTGTCAACATGTTTGTTTACTTACCGTGCTGAAACCTTCTAAATTGATGACGTACAGCTTCGCTATTCTTAGTCGGTTCGCCTTTTGGCTCCTCGCGATCAGTAGTATCAACATTTTTTGCACGTCCACTGGCGCGTCGTACCACATCCCGTTGTAACTGTAAGCACGAATAATATCTCGCGCGCGTTTGAGAAAATCGCTTCATATATTTTGTTATCTCTTACGCCGCTATCGAGATTCCGGCGCTATGATCGGTCATTTCTTGTCCGGCCCAACTGTTGAAAAATGATCGACAACTCTGCAGCAGCACGAGGGCCACGTATCGCACAATCTCGGACGATCGTCCCGTTCGTACGACGATCTGTGTAAAAAAAAAAAAAAAAAAATATTATCAGCGCTGAAAAGCGCCACGAAGCGAAGATATGCGCGTACCATCACGCACGAGGAGGTGTGCAGCACGAATCCCAGTCCGACATCGAACAGAAGAAACAACGAGAACGTGGACTCCATCGTCTCTGTAAATCTGAATCGACGGACATTTATTATCTCTGTTGCAAGAACTAAAAATACATAACTGTCTCTGAAAACGTGTCAGATATCAGTCAAATAAAAAAAAAAAAAATGTGCGCTACTACGCTCGAAAGTATTGTGTCACACTAACAGTCTTATTCTCTCGTGCAGTTGTATGCAGCATCGCGCACGACGACCGATTTCTTTGAACCCGTTGTCGATCCACTGCAATTCATCGCACGTCGTCAAATTCTCCAGGCGATGACTGTAAGAAATCTATTTATACATCCTCTTACCTACAAAATCTAATTCTTTTACATTCGTTTCTTCACGCGTCTAATCTATAATTTATCATTCGCTTGTTGACAAAACAACATTGTTGTTTCGTTTATCGCAATTAGAACGCAACTGATCTTCTTACCACAGTATACCGTACATCCCGCAGATATGTTCCACCAGCGAAACGTACATGATATCAGCGGCCACTGCGATTGAAACGCACGCGACGTAACCGGCGTATGTGCTGAGCAATAGCGGATAATAATGCTCTTCTTGATTCAAAAAGTATTCAGCCGGATGTGGCATTTTTCTCGGTCTCGTTTCGTTCGCGGGCGAGATAACGTCGAGTACGGGTCCGGCGAGGGGCAGCAAAGCGTAACAAAATACAAATCCAATTATGGAAACTGTATATAAATATATATAAAATTGAGATAATTTCCTTGTAGTTTTGTCAAAATAATATTTTTTTTACTGATTTAGTTATTTACATCCTTGAGTTCGTACTTGAATACGCCAATGTGAACTTCCGACCGTTTTCGGCGTAGCTCGTCAAAATTCGCATTTCTTGAACGGTCAGCAGATTGTCCCAATCCTCGTGCGTCTGTTGCAAAAGCACCTTAAACTGCGAGTGTCCGTTCACAAAAAAGTGTTCGGCGAATCGACCCGAGGATTTCATACCTTTTCGGAATTGCGTGTCAGGCTGATCACTTTTGCAACGCATATCACCGTGCCGGTTATGGTCGGCATGAGTTCAAACACGATGTCCAGATCGTCCGCGCGTTCCATCAAATACGCGATCTAGAATTTAATTTTAGTCCATCACGTTGATTATGTTAGATTCGGATAAACCGTCGTGTTCTCGTCGTTTGATTTTGTTTCGATGACACAAAAAAAAACATATCTCACGACTTTTAGTGTTTGTTTGATGTAATTGCACTCTTCGCGGTTGTTCAATGGTTAGTCGATTGTTATCTGGCGAGCTGTACCTGCGGCAGACACATTATACCGATGCCAAATATAGCGAACGAAAGGGTCAGCGCTTTCATGAAGGACGTTTGATACGGCCAGAGACCTACAAAGGACAGGAAGAGCTTGTTGATCCTAAAAAATCGCGTGTCAAAGAAATCCATAGCTTTTGCCATATTGAATAAGAATTCGTAAGTAGTGTTCCTCTCATATGCGCCGTTCTATAGCTTCTTTTAATATTCCGTTGAAACCTCGTGCCGCGCGCAGCGGCTTCGGTCACGCCCAACGCGACGTAACGCGGGAAAGAAATATCGCTGGGAAACAATATGAAATAACAATAAAATAGAATTTGTAATGGCGCTTTTGTGCGGTGACAAGCTTTTGAAGGTGTCTCGCATCATTATTTCATAAACTTTCGATGTCGCGAAGCGAAAACATGCGCCGTATCGACTGGCGCGTCAAACGTCTTCGACATCTCGAAGACTGAACGTCACATATGTGGGATAAATTCTATTCGGAGCAACGATAAAAAATCAACGCGTTTATTGTTACCAGTTACATGTTTTGCAACAATTAGAACATCGCTATACGTATGGAAATTCTATTAATGTACGTCTTTATCTCAGAGATAAAAGCGCCATAAAATACGACATAGCCGTTTGCACCGCCTTAAAATAAAAACATCTCAACGTTATGTGATTTTTTTATGGAAGTTGAATCACACAATAACGTCAACGTACTGTGCTGCACATAGCCATCGACATGACGTACATCTTTCCGGCAGTGAGCGTACAAGAGACGAAACTTCGGGAAAGCACTATGCTCATCAGTTTTTTCGTTTTCAGCGAAAACATGTACCAGTGTGAGTTGTATCTGAAGAACGAAATTCATTGTACGGTTTTCAGTGATATCGCGCGAAATACTTATTGTGTACTTATATCCGGTTTCGTCGTCTTCGATTAACTTAATCTGCCGATTGAGCGATCGGTCAATTTTGCTGAGAAACAACTAATGCGATTAATCAATTTTAACGGAGTAATTGATCGATTAAATTAATCGGAGATAAANCCGGTCCTTAGAATCGAGATTTACGTGATCACGATTTTTACACTTTGTCGAATATACTTGTGCTCTTGTCGATGAGCATTTGTCCGGGCAAACACATGCACAAAAGATGCGTGATCGATCCCATAACAATGCCTCCGTGTCTTATCATTTCCTGCGTTTGTCCGAGTTTGTTAAGAATCTGCAACAACATGCGTTCGCAGATAATATCGCGCTTTGATAAATACGTAGTTACATATACTTAAGAAAGTATTTTTCAATTTTTCACAGATTTGTGCACGTCTCGGAGCGTCTCGAAGAGACTTGTGCAGCTAAAATTACAAAGAAGATCTGCCCAAAACTTTCTCAAGTCTCTTGGCTTTTTTAATAGATAACGCTCGAAAATTTACTTGCAATCCAATCATACTCATGACCATCACGTTCAAAAACAGAACGACAAACATCACATGCGTGAACATGGAGTTTACCATGCAAGTATATCTGAAAGATAAAAAAAATTATAATACAGAATTTTTAGGGCGAACTTAATAATTAATCCTATTAAAATTATATCGCAATTAACAGTAGCACAAACTCAAGTGCGAGTTGATGTTTCTTCACACATATTCTCATCTCGTCGTAATCACTGTAAGTAGCAGGATTATGTTTTTCTATCAAGAAATTATGTTCAGCTCCATTTGCGTTATTGTTAAATATGTTATTGGCAATATTTTCAATACNAACGCTGAGAAAACAAAATGTTCTAATGAAGTGATCTAAACGTTGAAGTATATTTCACCATCCATTTGCTGTCTTTATCAAATGTTAGTCANTGTTACGTACGTACCCAACAGCATTGAATAAACTGCAACCATGCAACGTCAACACTATGTACAAGGTATCAACGTTAATCATAATCCCAATGGTGAGTAAAAAACCAAGATAGCTATGCAACAAAATAGGATAATAATACTTNATTTTATCAACCCCCCCGTATTCGGCCTCGAACACAAATATAACTGAGCGCGATTCGTTCAACGGCATTACAGCATCGAGGATTTTCGGCGTTAGCGGTATCACCATAAATGCTATAATTATACTGTAAATGAATACTGCAAATAAAATAGAAATATACATTGTCTACTGTCTCGGTCATAAATGTCAAATGTAACAAATCTCTCTTTTAAGTGCTACTTAATTAAATTAAATTAATTTAATCAACATTTAACGCACCAATTCAATATATTGCTCCTGTAGCCTTTTATAATCAACTAATTAAACCGACTTTCCATTGAACAAAAAGATTAGCAATAAGTTGCAATAATTTACATTGTCCAACTGTTGCTCGACGCGCTTATACATATTTCTTAAAATTAATAAAGTAAACTACAATTACTTGCGTAATATTTCGTCACTTTGTTACCGATATCAGCGTAGTGTCGCAAAATGTCAAGCTCGCATTGGCTGTGAAACATCTGCCAATGCTTGTCCATGCGTTGCAACAAATAACGAAACTGATGGACACACAACAATGATAACTCGATTANTTTTTCGATATGTAAAACAAATGCGCGCGTGTGTAACAAGATTCGCGAATGACATCTTGTTAATCGCGATTACTCCTACCCGCGGTGACACACAAAGCGTAACGTNATCTCGGAAACCCACCTTGTCGTTATTCACACAAATGTTAATTAACTTTATAGTAGCGCCCACAAACATGCTATTCATAACTATACTTTCAGCAACTACGCTCAAATNGTTCCAATTGTATAGCANCAAAAGCACCTACANATCAACGACGTGACAAGATTAAAAAAATTGAATTGTTTGGTAATATTTTNCGGTTGTACNACTGCGCNATCGCTCGTACGCTTNATCGCGTGNANGTTAAACGCTCGTTACCTGAGTTGCGATGATGGTGGANTGCNAGACAGTTATCAAACATGGTAACAATATCTTCCACTTCTTGGATTGATACGGCCAACCGCCTATTTGCGACAAAAAAAATTTATTTATCGAATAATATCGCCGCATGTCCCCTTGCATGTCGCGTTTGATTTCGAGCGAAAACAATTACAGCACTNGTCGCGTTCTTTTCAAGATCTGATGTAAAAAAGAAAAAAAAAACAAAGAAGTACTTATTACAACGACGCACGTACACATAAAGTAGGACGATATAATTACGATAATTCACGGTTGTCAGAAAACGTTTGAGAAGGGTTTATTTCGATAGAGGTTTTGCATGACATGGACACCCTCCACGCGTTATCCCCACTTTGCGGTGGGGATAACCTGATAACGAGTAAGTGCATTCACTGTGTGCAAAAGTGTCTATACACTAATCTCGTAGTCTTGTGTATATCATATCTGCATCTTTCTTCCGCATATAATAGAAAAAAACACCAGAATGATACATCTAAAGATATATCAAAACTGCACTTGCGAATGTAAAACCTTTATATGGTTGAATATTTCGAGAAAAGTAAAAAAAAACACAGTTCAAAATTATAATTACGATACATATGTATTTTTTTTTCTATGCATATTGGAAATGAAATGCGAACGCTCATGTTTCTAATATTGAATGCGTAATTTTATTGTAATGATTACAATTATTTGTTTACGAGCGAAATGAAAGCTAAGGACTTCACTAAATGATCAGCGACATGCTGTGTGAAATTGAGTTGCATTTGTATATTATACAAATACATCATCTCCGTCCTCGTCTATTTAACCGATAACAAAGTAGTAAAATACGACGTAGCAGTTTGCATTACCTTAAAAACACATAACGCGACGTATTTTTCAGACATTTTACACTATTGTTTATTATGCAATCATTGTATCGAAACGTACCGAACTGCACATAGTTAGCGACATGACGAACATTCTTCCAGCCGAGAGTGTGCACGGAAAGAAACTTCTGTGAAGCAGTATTCTCAGCAGTGTTCGGCTTCTGGTAGAAAATGTGTACCACGGTGAACAGTATCTATACATGGTTAGTCGATTGTTATCTGGCGAGCTGTACCTGCGGCAAACACATTATACCGATGCCAAATATAGCAAACGAAAGAGTCAGCGCTTTCATGAAGGACGTTTGATACGGCCAGAGACCTACGAAAGACAGGAAGAGCTTGTTGATCCTAAAAAATCGCGTGTCTAAGAAATCCATGGCTTTCGCCACATTGAATAAGAATTCGTAAGTAGTGTTCCTCTCATATGCGCCGTTCTATAGCTTCTTTTAATATTTCGTTGAAACCTCGTGCCGCGCGCAGCGGCTTCGATCACGCCCAACGCGACGTAACGCGAGAAAGAAATATCGCTGAAAAACAATATGAAATATCAATAAAATAGAATTTGTAATGGCGCTTTTGTGCGGTGTCAAGCTTTTGAAGGTGTCTCGCATCATTATTTCATACACTTTCGATGTCGCAAAGCGAAAACATGCGCCGTATCGACTGGCGAGTCAAACGTCTTCGACATCTCGAAGACTGAACGTCACATATGTGGGATAAATTCTATTCGGATCATCGATAAAAAATCAACGCGTTTATTGTTACCAGTTACATGTTTTGCAACAATTAGAACATCGCTATACATATGGGAATTCTATTAATGTGCGTACGTTCTTATCTCAGCGATAAAAACGTCATAAAATACGACATAGCCGTTTGCACCGCCTTAAAATGAAAACATCTCAACGTTATGTGATTTTTTTATGGAAGTTGAATCGCACACTAACGTCAACGTACTGTGCTGCACATAGCCATCGACATGACGTACATCTTTCCGGCAGTGAGCGTGCAAGAGACGAAACTTCGGGAAAGCACTATGCTCATCAGTTTTCTCGTTTTCAGCGAAAACATGTACCAGTGTGAGTTGTATCTGAAGAAATTCATTGTACGGTTTTTGGTGATATCGCGCGAAATAATTAGTATACTTATATCCGGTTTCGTCGTCTTCGATTAACTTAATCTGCCGATTGAGCGATCGGTCAATTTTGCTGAGAAACAACTAATGCGATTAATCAAT